TTGCATCTGCCATGACGCCATTGAAACATGTTCAGCACATAACTATGAAATGGTCATTATCTCCTCGTGATTTTATGTATGATTCAAATATCAATAGCGTAGACTGATGCTAGAGTTTTAGCTAAGCTTACATCGTGGAGCGTTTCTATTGCATGGGAAGCCTCTTTGAAGGCACTGCAATCCTGGTAAAAGTCTGCAAATTTGAAAAGAGTTAATGTCCATCTGGATTTGACATTTGAAGATAATGGACAGCATAGCTGAAACGATAGCAGCTGTTTGCTGATGGGGAAAAGATCGAAAGGGAAACAGAAAGCCAAGGGTGGTAGGGGCAATATCTTACTCACCTTATATCTGAGTTGTAGAGTGTGAAGTTATTGGCCACTAAATTCCTGCATAATATGCCGAGAAACAATCTCTTATTCTCTTAATTCATGTCCATTGGTATATTCATTGTTTTTCTATACTCATATTTACATCAACATTCTCCATTTGAGCACCAAAGATTCTCATGCTCAAAGCAAGTATTAAATTGGATAACGAAGGAAGTGTCATGGATTAAGATACATACAGTTGTAAGCTTGAGTCTATCCATGAGGGCAAATTTCCTGATAGATGATTGTAAGATACATCTCTGCATCAGATTACATAATTAAAATCGATTAGAAATTACCAGAACCGAACTTCTGTTCGCTAGATGCGCAGGTAAATATATTAAACTTGTAACATCGTTCATCATGATAAAAGTTGTTAACCAATTGAGTGAAATACATTAGTGTGATATTGTTGGAATAGGATATGTTGACCTAGCTGTAAATATAAGAATTCTAGGCTACATTGACGAAGATTAAGAAGATTAGGCTAATCATTAGGCATACTTCTTGTATAACTGTAAATTCTTGTGATTATGTTCTTCCTATATTTATGTGACATTTGAATCTATATATATGTACAATGTAATCCATGAAGATTAGAAGCAATACAACCTATCATTTCTATTTGTTTTTTCAGATATGATGACTTACATAGTCTTAAGATTCTCGCTCTTTCGGCTAGGAAGGGTACCTGACAGACTATTATTTCCAAGAAACCTGACCATTTAAACATAATGAAAAGAAGAAACAACCAGAAATAATACCCAAGTAGAAAGCATGTGGTAAGAAGCAGATGTCAACAATAAATCAGTTAAAAATAATGCGATTTTCATGGAATGAAGGAGATGGTTTCTTGGAGTTTACAAGTATGTAAGAGAATTTATATTGAACAATTCACTTGGAATTTGTCCTGTTAAGCTGTTGAAACTCAAATCCCTGGATGAGAAAGAAAAGACATTAAATAGTAAGAACTGGACTTCTGTTTAGTATACAACAGCAATAGATTTGTGAATAAAACTTACAGCTTTTGTAAAGATTGGAATTCTGGGATGTCAGAGGGAATACTACCAGTGAGTAAAACATTTCTTAGAACTCTACAATACAGGGAAAAAGGAAACAAAACAACATAAAAGTTTCTTAGTCAATAAATTTAGGTAAAACCAACAAATTAAAGAAAGAAAAGGAAAGAGACAGGGAAAAGATGTTAAACAGTATGTTTAACTCACAGATCTGATATTTTCCTTAAATTTGTAACAAAATCAAGAGAAGAGCTCCCATTCCAGATACCAGTAATTCGCCTACATATAAATATATATTAGAAGATATTACATACATTCATGTGTGAGTATGTGGAGAAAAAGAGTTTCCCATATTTTTTTTACTCACAAAATGGTAAGAGAAGTCAAGTTCCCAATATTGGAGGGTATAGGACCTTCAAAAGAGTTACCTTCAAGTCTCCTATAGAAACACTTGATAGATTAATCAAGAGAGTAGCACAAGAAAAATCTGCAATCAGGGTTATTTCTACCATTTAATTCTATTATTTGGAAAACTTACAATGATTCAAGCCTTGTCCAGTTACTTCCAATAAATTCAGGTATTTTGCCTGTGAAAGCATTGTCTGATGCCCCCCTGAACTTCAACAAGCCATATAATCAAGCTAAGCTAAGGCAAATTTCTTGAGCTGAAGATGATACGCATATATATAGAATAATAAGAGATTCCTAGTCCTAGATATTTCTTACACGATTTGCAGGTTCCAAAGTTTAGCAAATGTTGAGGGGAATTCACCGGTCAATCCGCAACTGTTAATGTAACTGTCGACAACAATCATAAACCAAAGTTTTCTTAATTATTCTTATTATAAACAGATTAATGGAACACTTAATTACATGCTCACAAAGTAATTAGAGATAAAGTTACAACTTACAGTTGTTGAAGTTCAACTAGATTACCCAGCTCTGGTGGGATTGCTCCTGAGAAATTATTAACACCAAGAGACCTTCATGACATACAACCACAGATTTAATTGGTGAGGAAATCAGAAAAATATGGGATTCTATTTTTATTATATTGGAGACATATGTATGTATGTATGTATGTATGTATGTATATGGAGAATTTGTTCAATTCTTACAACAGATAGAGCTTCTTAAGATTTCCAATCTCCTTTGGAATGGGTCCAGATAAAGAATTATGGGCAACTGATCTGTCATTTTTTTGAATTGTTATCCAAAATATCAGCAACCTTCATTATATGAAAAAAAAAAAAGAAAATTCAACTTTCTTTAATTTTGAAAGTGATTAGTTATGTTAAATAGTATGAATTCAATTGGTCATATTCCTTGAAAGACATTGAAAATTATATATGAAGTGATGATGAAATGATTTTAGATTTGATACAGTGTTAACATATAAAAGTTATACATTTTAATAATCTCATTACTGATAAATATTTGAAATTAAAACCAATAAATTAAAAATCATAAAATATTTCCCATAAATAAAAGAATACTCACAGTAATTGTAGCTTAGACAAATTTCCAATAAATGCTGGCAAGGGACCTGTGAAGAAGTTTTGATCAATCATACTGCATCACAAAAACATATTAATTAATCAGCCTAATAATTAGAACTGCAAAAAATTTCATGACCAACATGTTATACATATACATACATGCATACATACATACATTGACTATCAAAGACCAAAACTTTTAATCCATCTGGGGAACTTTTAAAATTACTGAAAATATTAATTGTTGGGTTATTTATACAAGTGAATGGCATGCATGAGAAGAGATGGAAAGAATGTTCATACAAGAAGTTGAGATATCTGAAAGCTAGAAGTTGTTCAGGTATCCTTCCTCGTTTCTCAAGAGAAAATACCCTCCTGATCATCAAAACATACAATTCATTAATTTCAATGGGAATTACTTTAAGAAGATGACTATGGTATATGGAAAGGATGAAGGAGCATAGAGATATACAGCCTAGTAATGTGGCAGACGGTGGCGTTTTCGAAAGAACAGTCGCATCTGATGGATGGGTTATTAGCAGAGTCTTCGAACACCGAATCGCTTTGACTGAGAGCAACTCCGCTGCATGGCTCTCCGGTGATGTTCCAGCCGTCCGGCGCTTGTGTTTCCCATTGTTTGAATATTTCATTCAATGCCCTCACTTCACATGATATTCATCATCAACAACAACAAAAAAATTACTATAGTTTACCCCCAGAAAAAGTATGAGCATTGCTATATTTGCAAAGATCAATGCAGAGTTCAAAATACCTTCAGATGGATCGGTGGTAGTAGTCGGAGTCTGAGCATTGCAATACTTAGAGCAACCAATAAAGAAAATGATGAATAACAAGAACACCAGCAAGCATTTGGAACAAGATGGCGGTTTCCCATTCAAAATCATCTTCCTATTCTGATATAAAACCAAAGAGAAAAAACATCAACTATATAAGAAAGGTGCAGCCTTGTCATCTACAGACAAATATTAGCTAAATATTATTGCATATGGCGTAGTATTTGGAGTATGTGTGTTATTGCTGTGTTGGTTCGGGCACTAATGCTTCAGAGACTTACACAAGAAGGTAGGGAACCTAATGTCCTAAACTCCAGGGAATTTGATCCTACCCCAGGACTTTGACAAGTTCATTGGTCTCAAATTTGATATTGTCATGAACTGACCATTATTGGTCGTTCTATCATTTAAATAGATTTCTACATATTCGAACTTACATCTTTAAAACATAAAAATAGCGTATTCTACGGAGCTTATTCGATCACAGTCTGGAAAAGCACTGTAGGGTCCAAATTCAAGCTGATTAATAGAGTTATCCAGTGTTAAAAATGCTAAGAATACAAATGTATGTATGTATATATATATATATATATATATATATATATGAAAGAGGAAAGGACTTCAATGATGATTTAAATAATATAATTTTCTCGTTTCTTTGTTGAACATTGATGATATATATATATATATATATATATATGAAAAAGTGCAATTCTCTCCCTACACTTCTCTCAAAGAGTTCTCTCTTATTCTCTATTTTTCTTGAAGTTTCCGATTCACTTTAGATTTTAAGCGTACAAAATTCTAAAAGATCGTGTTAACCTCATAATAATGTTCATTTTAAGGATTACATCAATCAAAACAATTTTGCTTCTAAAATAGTGATTTCTCTCACAATATTATCAAAATTTATCTCATTTTTATTATCTTATTTTTTAAACGATACTAACAGTTTATTTTACAATAATACCCTTTATGTCGAGTCAACTTTTCATTATGTATCTAAATGATATGGTCAATAATAAGTTGTGTATATAATATATTTTGCTTTCATGGTGAACCCTTTTTCTTACGAACGTTTCATGTCAAATTACCATGTATTTTAATGAACAAAAAATTGTTATCTTTCTCAAAAACCTAATTATTTGCATAAACAAGAGCCAAAAAGAGACTTTTTATCTTAAAATACATCTATAAAGACAAAAAAAACTCTATGGACATTATTGTACATTTCAGTATATGATTGAAGTTTATAGAAATGATGATTTTCTTAAGCATTTTGATATGGTATTATAGCAGGCATGGAACAAACAATTCTCACCTTCCTTCTCCAATGCTCTCCTTAAATTCAGTCATATTTACTGGAGAGGGTATTGGTTGATTATCTTCCCCCGAAGTCGTCTTGTTCTTACTATTAACGTCGCTGTTGCTATGATCTGATGGAATGGATGTTCGTGTTTCTTCATCCATGAAGGTGTCTGTTATATCTTGGAAATTCCAGTCAGTTATGTAACTTGGTTTTGTTGTAACATTACTCACTTCAATATCTCCTGCAAGCATGCCGACAACACGGGACATAGGCGGCCGCATTGATGGTGATGCCTGAGTGCAGAGAAGTGCCACCCCTATCATTCGGAGAGCTTCGTTTTCGTCGAACTCCGCTAATGTTGGGTCAAGCAGGCTCAGTGGTTGGTTATTTTCATGCAGCGTCCATGCCTAGAGACATTGTAGGAACAAATTAATAATCATATTTAATAATGTTCTTGAACAAATAGTGTACTGCAGAAGGGAACGATGTGCTTCTGGATTACCCATTCAAGAAGATAAATTCTGTCATTTTCTAAGGTATTGTATGAGTTTGGTCTACCGCTCATGATCTCCAAAATAACAACACCAAAGCCGAAAACGTCGACTTTCTCGGGAAGATGCCCACGCATTGCGTACTCCGGTGCCAGGTAGCCACTTGAAGATGATTACATTGCATTGGTGAAAATGTTCAGTGATAAAACTACTAAATCAAGCAATTTGGGAATGGAAATTACATGCTACTAAGGCAGTACCCATGAACAAAAAGGTTGAAAGGTCTTACATGGTTCCGGTAGCACGAGTGGTGACGTGTGTTTTCTTGTCATCATAAAGCTTTTCCAATCCAAAATCAGATATATTTGGGCAGAACTTTTCATCAAGCAAAATATTGCTTGCCTTGACATCCCTATGAACAATCCTTGGCCTAGACTCCTCGTGAAGATAAGCTAGCCCTCTTGCAGTTGATAAGCAGATATTGAAGCGGGTTCGCCAATCAAGATGCAGGACATTTTTTTTCCTGCATTTGTTGTACAACAAATCTCATACAATTATTGCTCTATTGACACCACCAGCCTCCTGTGATATATCAAAATCCCTTAATCGCCGGGTTCCCTGATGAAGCATTCATGAGATATTGTAGCACTAAGTATTTCTGAGTGTAAAATCATGCGAACATAATTTTGATCGCAGAAACACAGCAAATAGGAGGAATGTTATACTCCATACAGTTTAGAATGGTATGGATTTATACATCAAATGAAATTTTACCTGATAAACATCGAAAACACGCCTCCCTAGACTCCTCCAAGACTCTGAGGCGCGCTCTGGAAAACCTGTCTCTGCGAAGAACAATCTTACAGTATAGGGTCCATTCTCAAGGCCTATGCCATAGTATCTAAGTGATCCAGGCGATAGCCTTGAAGTCTGATACAGATCCGGAATGTTGGGTATCTCTCACTTGTCCCAAGAAGTTTTGCACAAACTGTTGAATTTGTTTTTCTGCAAACAAGCCTGCATTGCTAACTGCCCATTTCCTTGTACTGGTTACATTAAATGTTGCTGGTCCAAGTGTGCTATTATCAGCCTCGAATGTTATCCCATCAGATCTCAACGCTGGTCCGCCACACTTGATTGAGAAGTTCGCATCTGCCAATGCCGACATTGAAATATGTTAGCAAAGCGTTAAGCATTGATCTTGATTAAATCTTTGAATTATGATCTCAACAACAGATATTGGTTCCAAAGTTTTAGCTACTACATCGTAGAGAATTTCTAAAGCATGGGAAGCTTCTTTGAAGGCATTCTAATCCCGGTAAACGCCTGAGGAATTTCAAAACGATTTCTTGATTAGGAGCATTAAAAGATTGCATTGCATAACAGAAATAATAGCAAGCATTTCTTTCCATAGAAATAAAAGAATTCTTTCAAGTAAGTTTAGGAGAAGGGAAAGTCAGGTGGTGAGGGGCAATAACTCACCTTATGCTTGTGCTGTTAAGTGTGAAGTTGTTGGCCACAAGGTTCCTACATAAATTTCCATGAAACAAGCTCTTATTGTTATTGATTTGCAACTGATTACTTACAGTGTGATATTAACAATAAGAAAGTAAGCTCCATTTGAGCACCAAAAAAGCCATAAACTACAAAGCGGTGTTAAAAATTAGAAAGCAAAGGTAAGTAACGGAAGTTTACGGGTTTACGATACATACAGTTGTAAGCCTGAGTTTACCCAAGAAGGCAAGTTTCCTGATAGAAAACTGTACGATAAATCTCTACATAGAGAAGTATATTAGCATAAAGTGAGTATGGAGTATGAATATATTGCCAGAATCAGGAGAATTTAACTGCTTTTTCTATTGATTGTTCACTCAATGGAAGATGCTGACTATGGTTAATATCAGATGGTGGACATTTTACATTTAAAACTAGCATCATATGAAACAAGTTGGTGAGATAGAATGACTTACATGGCCTGAAGAGTTTCACTCTTTTGGATGAGATTAGATAAAAACATTCCATCTTTTTTCCAAAAAAGAAAACAGATGAAGTAAAGTGTGGTTCACTCACAAGTCAGTCAAGTTCTTTAGATTTCTTACGAAATCGAGAGAAGAACTCCCATTGTATATATCACCAATTCGCCTACATGATATACGAGCATAAAAAACAATTATGTGACATACATACATACAATGGTGGCGGAGAGTATACTATCAGGAAAGCAAGATATCTCTACTTACAAAGAAGTCAATGAGGTTAAATTTGCAAGACTGGATGGTATTGGACCTTTGAAAGAGTTCCCTTCAAATCTCCTGTATTAACATTCGACAGACTAATCAAACTGATGAAATATCTAGGCAAAGCTACCCTACTTGATGTTTGATTCAAATAGAACTTATATGAAGATATGTCTTGATGAATTACTTACAACGTAGTAAGCTTTGTCAAGTTACCGAAAAATTCTGGTATTTTGCCTGTGAATGCATTATCAGATGCCCACCTGAAATTCAACAGAGCTTACCGTTGTGAAGCATGTGGAAATCTTCTGTAAATTATTGTCCGTTTCTACATGATGGATTATATATATCAACCTACCCTTTAATAATAACATTACAAATGAGTTTAGGTATAATACATGACTCAACTTAATTAGTTTTTTATTTTTTATTTAAGGATTAAAGTTTAGGAATACAGTATAGAACCTTAGTGCACCAGTCTTGGTTGGCAGGCGACGACACCAGCCTTGGTGTTAGTTATCATTGCTAACATTTCTTAGGGGCTGTTTGTTTACTTTATAATGATTAAGTGTTGAATGGTTCAAATGCTGAATGATTCAGAGACTCTGAATGGTTTGGCTCTGAATGTGACATGCTATTTGATAACTAGCTCTGAATGATTCAGAATGTACTTCTGTGCTGAATCATTCAACACTGTTTTGCTGAATCAGTCAGCACTGAATCATTCAGAGATGCGAAACAAACGCGCTGAATGCTGAACGGTTCAACATTAACGCTGAATGGTTCCATTAAGAGGCAAACAAACAGCCCCTTAGTTTTTCTTTACTTTTTTATCTCGTATATCTTTATTTTTCTTTTGTTTTTAATAACTCTGTTTTTATAACACGATTATCTTTTCCTTTATGACACATTTTTTTAAGAGAAAATAACCTCAGTGACCGAAAATGCCTTATAATATACGATTTTAACCAACTTTTTTTGGATTTGCCAAAATGACCAACAAATTCGCAACGCGAACTCCAATTTCGCAACCCAGTTTCCAATTTCGCAACGTGAATATGTAAATCGCATTGCGATTTTCCAAATTCATGTTGCGATTTTCCAAATTCGCAACGCGAATCTGTAAATCGCAATACGAATTTGTAAATCGCAACACAGAAGTCAAATTCGCAACGCGATAGTCAAATTCGCAACACAAAAGTCAAATTCGCAACGTGAATAGTAAAATTCGCAACGTGAATAGTAAAAATCGCAATGTGAATAGTAAAATCACAACGTGAATAGTAAAATCGCAACGTGAATAGTAAAATGACAACGAATCTATATGTAAATTATCTCTTATCATCCATCTATAATAATTTGTTGGAAAAGTACATAAATAATTTTTATAAAAAATATTCGTATACGTGAAAAAATTTATATGTAAATGAACAACAAATCTATTTCATTTGTCAATCTTCATTACAAATTATTCTAAATTCAATTAATTAAAGTTTGAAATTTGAAAGAATCCTTAACTCAAACTAATGAAATATATTTAAAAAATTATATTTTGAATTATATTAAGAAAAAGCCGATTCCTATACACATGTAGATATGTTTTATTTTCCACTTAAAATCTCAGTCTAGAAGCAGAGAGTTACCATTTGAAATTCGTAACGCGATTTTGTGATTTTCTAAATTCGCGTTGCGATTTTTCAATTCTCGTTGCGATTTTCCAATTCGCGTTGCGATTTTACTATTCACGTTGCGATTTTACTATTCACGTTGCGATTTTATTATTCACTTTGAGAATTTTACTATTCACGTTGCGATTTTATTATTCACTTTGAGAATTTTACTATTCACGTTGCGATTTTATTATTCACTTTGAGAATTTTACTATTCACGTTGCGATTTTGGAAACTGAGTTGCGAAATTGGAGTTCGTGTTGCGATTTTGTTGGTCATTTTGGCAAATCCAAAAAAATTGGTTAAAATCGTATATTATAGGCATTTTCGGTCACTGAGGTTATTTTATCTTTTTAATTTTTGACATGTTTTTGTTCGCATTTTTCTTTCGTTTGAGGTTTTTTGGATGGATTTTTCACCTTTTCATGTCCTTATATGAAAATATCTTAATTATGTATTTAGTTTACGACTCTAATAATTTTAGATATTTTTTCTTTCCTAAAAAGATTGATGCTTCTATTTCAAAAAAAAAGTTTAGGATTAGAGTTTACTATTTTAAATTTTAAGATTTATAATTAAAATAGATAATATTTTAAATTTTAAATTTCACAGTTTGTGTATCAAATAATTTATCTTTTTCGAGTATTTTTTTATTTCTTGAAATCTTTCTTTCATTAGATAATTTTTTTATATTTTTGAAATTAATTTATTATTTATTACAACAAAATTTAAAATAAACAGTGTTTTTGGGTTAAATTTTGCCTTCAAATCCAAAATAAATATTTTTTTTTGTAAAAGGGATACTTTGTATTAAGGAATAACACGAAAATACACCACTCCAAAGACCTTATTAAAAAACCTCTCTAAACCTATATGGAGAAAAAAGAGTATAACATTCGGGTGGAAAAGGCAAACTGCCAAAGCCTCTGTACATTACAACAAGATACCAGGTTCAGACCATAAAGACAACCCATACTAGGCTAAACAAGGTGCAAACGAACATCATGAAGGGATAACAAATAAAATCACGCACTTCAGACAAAACCAAAACAGCAGCAAGCAACAGCCATGGAACTAAAAACCACTTAAACAATAGCCTTTCTGGGATAAGGCAAGGATCAACACCACCGACTCAAACAGAGATGCACCATTATGAAAGCGAAAGGTGCCGGGGCCTTGAAAATTTTGGCAATGAAACTTGAAGAATGGAGACGAACAGCAAGGATCCTGAGACAATAAGGAACGGCCAGGATTTTCAAAAATATCCTTAAAGAAGCAAAGATCCAAATACTCATCATATATCATAGACCAAAAGCAATCCCCGGCAGTCGCACCACTAACCTCCAAAAAATTCTAAAATTGAAGAACGTCGGCTAACTAACCACCTAAATTCTAACTTAATGGCAGAGATTCCTCCTTGTTAACATAAATGTCCCACCTTTTCTTCAAAATCGAATCTGAAAGAGAAGTACCGGATAATTCTGTGAAATTAAGATCAGCTTTCAGCAATTTAAATCTCTTCAATGCACGATCTCTTTTATTTTTCTCAGCTTTCGACAGAGCCTTCTCCTGAATATCTAATAAGGAGCCAAATTTCACCTGCCTTCTTGATTTGGACATCATCTTATTAATCGGGCTCTCCAAAGGCTTTAGACACAAAACCTTTGACTGCCGTGGGGATAACTTTCCTTTAGAGCTTAACCGCCCATTGCTATCAACTAAGACCTTGTTCGATGGCCCAACAGCAGACTCAAGCTGCTCAACATGCTCCAACCCTTCCAATGCTGCGCACACATTCCCCACAGCTCCCAGTCCCACCTGAGCCCCACTAACGGCCTCCATAATATAATTTGAACCATTCAACTGGCACAACAAACCTTGCGCTGGTTCCCCAAAATGTTTTGTCTGGGAATCAAATTCAAACCGGCCCATGCTTACTAAACCATGCGTGTTTCCTTCTAAGACACCACACCTCTCCACCTCATCATCCATGTGCTCCCCATAACGCACTAATTTGGACCCATCAATCAAATTGCCTTGAAAAGCAGCGCATAAACCCAAATTCGCTTCCATGTTAGCCCCGCTACCATTCTCCAAATCATTAAAGGATCCACTCAACTGACAAATGAAATCACGCGCATCGTTCCCATTACGCACTGTCTGGGGCACAATTGTATGAGCACGAAAATCATCGAGACATGAGTCTACACAAGCTCCCACCGCAACTGGAAACAACGAACCACCTTCAGCATTCGAAACATCGGGGAGAGCTCGGCCTTCTTCTTGTCCTTCCTCCCTTTGAGCAGATTCAACAAAACAGTGAGAAATCAATCCATCGCCAACCTCCTTCTCATGAGACTTTACTGACAACTCCATCAAAGACGAATCTTCTCAAACGGACTCAGGGTTGAAACAAGGTTCGAATTCAGAAACATACACTTGAAAAATCTTTTCCCCGACTTTCAAATCAAAAGAATCTTCCACTCGAACTTGGCAGTTCGTAATAATCTGAAACAACGCCCTATCAAACGAGCCGGGATTTAAAGTCCCTTCCTCAATGGAGATAAGATCTCCCCATTTACCTGCGATGTTTTTGAACGTGGAATGAGTCCACGCAAAAGGTGGAATCCCTTTGCAAGATAACCAAGCCCGTCGACTTCTGCACTGGATATTCTCCAACCATACTTCTACTTTGTCAAAACAGGACAACAACGCTCCAATCTGATGATTCAAAGTAAAGTCCCTACTCTCTTCGTCTTCAAAAATGATAAGAATAGCTAAACCACTAAGTCTCATGATTTTCGGACATATAATACTTTTTTTGTGCAAAAAAGCAGCCAACTCTTTCATTTTCATAAAATTTCTACACCAACCTACGAGACTGTCTCTAAGAGTTAGCAGCTTATCCTCATCAACAAAACCAACAATGGGAGCTTCAGAACGACTATCAACCTCCACTCTACTCTTTTCCACAACTTGATTTGGACCTGAGATCTTCTTTCTCAAGAAAGAATCACGAGGTTTAAATCTCGCCATAAAAACTCTAACTTCATTACCTTGAATTCTAGTTCTATCAGCACGTTTGATAGCCTTCCTCGCATCCACCAATATGCTAAAACGAACGAAACCGAACCTATTTCCTCCCTTCTTTTGTTAGGGATGAAGGAATCGGCCACCTCGCCAAACACATCGAATATAAGCCAAAGACCTTGATGATGGAGGAGATCTGGAATATTGAAAATGATCACCGTAAAACAGTTTTTCTCCAATGAACAATTCACCTTGCTCGACATATTCTGAATGTGGCCTGGTTTGAAGCTTTTTCGTTATACTCGCTGGAGCATCTGATTCGTACAACAACACTCTTTTTCCAAAATAAATATTGAATAGTAAATTTTAACTAAAAACAAAGTTGGGGCGAAATTAAAAAAATTATAAGTATTTTTTTGGCCAACTCAAAAAATTCAAAGTTTAATCACAAAAAAATAGTGACAACTTTGTAAAGTAGAGTAACAAATATCAATCAAAACAAAGTTTAATAAGTTTCAATATTCAACTATCATGGTATCATTTACCCTTAAACCTTGTTTTTTTCCCCAGGCCAAAGGACAAGACAATTCTCACCTTCCTTCTCCAATAACCTCCCTGAATTCAGTAATATTAACTGGAGAGGGAATTGGTGGATAAGTTAACTCTGAAATACTCTTGTTCTTGCTCTTGTGGTCGCTGCTGCCATGATCAGATGCATTTGATGTTTGTGATTCTTCATTCATGCCTGCTACATCCTTATAATCCCAGTCAGTTATGTAACTCGGTTTTGTTGTAACAATGCTCACTTCAATATCCCCTGTAAGCATACCAACAACACGAGACATGGGCGGCCGCATTGATGGTGATGCCTGAGTGCATAAAAGTGCCACCCCTATCACTCGCAGGGCTTCGTTTTCGTCAACCTCCGATATTGTGGGATCGAGCAGGCTCAAGGTTTGGTTGTTTTCATGCAGGGTCCATGCCTAGAGACATTGCAGGAACAAATTAATAATCGTATTAAACAAGGTTCTAAAACAGATAGTAATGGATTACCCATTCAAGAAGATAAATTCTTTCGTCTTCTGAGGTATTATACGAGTTTGGTCTACCACTTATAAGCTCCAAAGCAACAACACCAAAGCTGAAAACATCAACTTTATCTGTAAGGTGCCCGCGCATTGCATACTCCGGTGCCAGGTAGCCACTTCAAGATAAATTACATTTCAGAAGTGAGTAATGTTTTACTGATAAAACTACTAAATCTAGCAATTTGGGAACATAAATTACATGCTACTGAGGCGGAGTCATGAACAAGAAGGTCTAGTTGTCTTACATTGTTCCGGCAGCACGAGTGGTGAGGTGTGTTTTCTTGTCATCGTAAAGCTTTGCCAATCCGAAATCAGATATCTTCGGGCAGAGCTCTTCATCAAGCAAAATATTGCTCGCCTTAACGTCCCTATGAACAATCCTTGGCCTAGAATCCCGGTGAAGATAAGCTAGCCCTCTAGCAGTTGATAAGCAGATACTGAAGCGGGTTGGCCAATCAAGATGCAAGTTACTTTGTCCTGCATTTGTAGTGCAACCGATCACATACAGTTGTTCGATAAGCAATATATAATGGCAAGCATAAAAATATTAGATTGTTCTCATACCCCAGAGTGCTTGATCAAGGCTTTTGTTCACAAGATACTCATAAACAAGAAGACGCCTATTTCCTCCAATGCAGCATCCGTATAGTTTGACAAGATTACGATGTTGCACTGCTGATATGGTAGCTATCTCAGTAACAAATTGTTCTTTCCCCTGGTTTGATTCTACTAAGAGTTGTTTCACAGCTACAACTCTCCCGTCAGGAAGTGTACCCTAAAGCATACTACGATTTAGTAACATTGTGCAATAAATCATCCTTTCTCAGTAAGTTCATCATTGTATGACAGCAAATTAGCTTGCAAAAAATGTTAAGACATTGTTTACCTTATACACAGGTCCGAATCCCCCTTCTCCTAACTTGTTCGAAGGACTGAAGTCTTCGGTGGCAGCTTTTAACTCGGAATAACTAAATGTGTTTGGTCTAGGACTGATGCCAAGAAGCACTGCAGAGTTGAGTAAGGCAATTAGTAACCTGTAAGCCAGAGCGGAAAACAAAATGATTCTCTAATATTACCAATTACCATGATTAGATATTACTTTGAAAAACTCATGAACATTTTTTAGCCTCATTTTAAAGGAAGAAGACCTTTTCACTTTTCTGATAATGGGATCTTTTCGTAGAAAATAATCCATTGATATAGAACAGAGAACTAAAGATGCACCTTTTTCCGATATACAACGAAAAACCATATATATATAATTTATGATAAACTTATGCTCTTACCCTCCTCCTCAATATCATCTTCTCTCTTTCTCTTCACATAAATAATTGCAAATATAAGTATCAAAGCCAATGCCACAACAGGAACTGTAACACCAGCAATCAGTGTTGTGTTGTTCTTCTCTTTAGGATTGCCTGGCGGTATGCCATTGACAGTTGGTCTGAAATCTGAGGAACAAAATAGCTTTATTAGAAACATAAAATAAGCACATGAAGCATATCTGCAAGATTCACTAGTGTTAAGGTATCTTACTTGGAACAACACTTATAGCAGAAATAGATGGACCATAATAACCTCTTTCTGGTGTGCAGCAAGTACCCTTACCAGCCCAAAATAGGTGAATCTCAAGATAGTTCCCCGTCACGTTAGCTGTGAAATTCCTAGTTATTGCTCTCTCAACATTACCTGCCTCCTCCAATATATCAAAATCCCTTAATAGCCGAGTTCCCTGTGAAACATCAATGAGATATTGTAGCATCAAGTGCTCCTACATTATGTGAACGTAATTGTGACAATAGAAACGCAACCGAATAGGGGAAATAAGTTGTATGATATACAATTTAGAATGGTATGAATTCTTACTTCAAATGAAATAGTACCTGAATATAAACATCAAAAACACGACTTCCTCGACTCGTCCAAGACTGTGAGGTTCGGTCTGTGAAACCTGTTTCTGCGAAGAACAAGTTTACAGTATAGGGTCCATTCTCAAGACCTAGGCCATAGTATCTGAGTGATCCAGGGGATAGCCTCGAAGTCTGATACATCTGCGGAGTGTTGGTACCCCTGACTTGTGCTCCGGAGTTTTGAACATACTGTTGATTCTGTCTATCTGCAAACAATCCTGCATTGCTAACTGCCCATTTCTGTGTACTGGTTACATGAAATTTCGCTGCGCCAAGAGTTCTATTATCAGCCTCGAATAATATCCCATTAGATGTCATCTCTGGTCCACCACACTTGATTGAGAAGTTCGCATCTGTCAATGCCGACATTGAAATATGTTAGCAAAGTTTGCATTGTCTTTTTAATTAATAAAATATCTTTTTGGTCGAACAAAAAAAATACTGGTTCAGAAGTTTCAGCTAGTACATCGTGGAGCATTTCTATTGCATGGGAAGCTTCTTTGAAGGCAGTCTAATCCTGGTAAAAGCCTGAGGAATTTCAAAATAATTTCTTGATTAGGAACTTTAAAAGAATGTATTGCATAGCAGAGATAATATAGCAACATTTCTTTTCATTGAGGTAAAAGAATTCTTTCAAAAAAGTTTAGGAGAAGCGAAAAAAGGTGTCGAGGTACGATAACTCACCTTAGGTTTGAGCTGGTAAGTGTGAAGTTGTTGGCCACAAGGTTCCTACATAAAATTCAATGAAACAAATTCGTATCGAGTTCAGTTAAATTTTTTAACAGTGTGATATCAAGTATCAACTATAAGAAAGTAAGCTCAATTTGAGCTCCTAAAAACCTATAAGCCACACCTGTGTTAAAATTAGAAAGCAAAGGTAAGTAAAGGAAGTATCCTGGTTTTAGATACATACAATTGCAAGCTTGAGTTTACCCAAGAAGGCAAGTTTCCGGAAAGTAAATTGTATGATAAATCTCTGCATATAGAAGGCTATTAGCAGAATGCAAGTAACGAGTAATGTTATACGAAACAAGTTGGTGTGATAGAATGAATTACATAGTCTGAAGAGTTTCACTCTTTTGGCTGGGAATAGAACCAGATAGACTGTTATTTCCAAAAAACCTGAGCATTTCAATAGCATAAAAGAGATGAGTAATATCAAATGAAAACCACAAAGTCCTAAGCTCATATGTTCAACCATTGAAGGAGACGGTTTTTGTTTTTTTCGGTTGCTTACAAGTATATGAGAGAATTCATACTGAACAAAGCGCTTGGAATTTGGCCTGTTAAGTTGTTGAAACTCAAATCCCTGGAACAAAAGAGATTAGAAACATGAACAAGCGCATATCATGAATCAGTGAAGCGGTTAACTTTTGGATAGAACTTACAGCTTTTGTAAAGATTGTAATTCCGTGATATAAGAAGGCAAAATACCAGTGAGCATGACATTTCTTAGAACCCTATAGGAAATGAAAAGAAAGGAAAATGAATGTGTTTATTCCATAAATTTAGGTGAAAACAAATAATATTTTTTCCCGAAAAAGAAAACAGATGAATAAGAGTAAAGAGCATGGCTAACTCACAAGTCAGTCAAGTTCTTTAGACTTCTCACAAAATCAAGAGAGGAACTCCCATTGTATATTCCACCAATTCGCCTACATGATACACGAGCATAAAAAACAAGTACATGTTATATACACATAAGCACCTTAATACATACACACATACATACGCGTAGCATGCATGAATTAATACACAGACAAAGGGAGAGAATTCAATGGTGGTGGGGAGTATACTCTCGGGAAAGCAAGATATATCTACTTACAAAGAAGTCAATGAGGCTAAATTTGCAAAACTGGATGGTATTGGACCTTCAAAAGAGTTCCCTTCAAATCTCCTGTGTAAACATTTTGACAGATTAGTCAAACTGATGAAAAAATCAAGGCAAAGCTATCCTTCCTGATGCCTGATCAGTGAGAGCTTATATGAAGAATATAGCCAATATGTATTGATGAATTACAATGATGTAAGCTTCGTCCAGTTACTGACAAAGTCCGGTATTTTGCCTGTGAGTGCAGCGTCGGATGCCCACCTGAAATTTAATATAGCAGTAAGGAGTCAAGGTAATTAAGGCAATTTGCAGGAGCAACTGAGAGAAAAGGCAATAAGCATAGATAAGGGTCTTTCTTACACGATTCGAAGTTCTACAAGATTAGCAAATGTTGAAGGAATCTCACCACTCAATCCACAACTATTAATGTATCTGCCAAATTTTCATAAACCGCTTGTTGTTATATTTTCAAGGGCAACTTCAAACAACTAAAGAAAGAACTTACAGTTCTCCAAGTTCTACTAAGTTACCAAGTTCTGGAGGCAGTGTTCCAGAGATTCCATTATTATTACCCAAAGACCTGCATGATATTGATCAATTTTTACGAGTAAATGTTTGCTTAAACATAGAATTAAGTTATCCTTTATAATGGTGGCAAAAAGAATTGTTTGAGAGTTCCATTAATTCTTACAGCAGATATAGCTTCTTGAGATTTCCAAGCTCCTTTGGAATGGGTCCAGAGAAATCATTGTGGGCAATTGACCTGTACAAAGTAAAATGAAATGTTATTATCATAAAATGTCAACATAAAATGAAATGTTATTATCAGATAATCTTTGAGTACTCACAGTAGGCCTAATCTAGACAAGTTTCCAATGAATGCTGGCAAAGGACCAGAGAAGGAGTTTTTATCAATCTTCCTGATCACCAAACAATCCAAGTGATTATCATCAGTTACTGTAAAACTAACCATTTTCCATAACTAAAAGACATTGTAAAATGTTCGAAATCAATGTCGGCATACGAAGATCGAAAGTGAGGAGTAAATAGAGAGGAAAAAAGGAAATAAGAACATTCTTACAAGAAATTCAGAAAAGGTAAATCCAAAAGCTCCTCTGGTATGACTCCTCGTTTATCTAGACCATATACCCTCCTGAAAAGAGAGTTCAGAACATGTAAAATATTAGTCCAAATGATATATATTACTATTAGACTTCCCACAGAGGCCGTTGACAATGAAGTTCTCTGCTCTCTATAAATCTGTAAAACCAGATGCTTAAAATGTTTCCTGAAGACCCATTTCAAGTTATTACAGTGAGAACCAAATATATAACACACCTTGAGAAGCCACGAGTAGTTGACGAACTTTTGACAGGTTCACTAAAAATCACTATAAAATTTCTCCAGCATGATTGAGAGATGTGGTGTGACCTCAATAAAATCATTTTATTCTTATTTTCCTTTATTCTACCTCTTAATGAATACCGATCAAACGGTCGATTTTTTATTGGTTACGATTCTCTACCAAAATTAAAAGATGTGAACTGCCATCGACCCTCGCAACACATATAGTCCCATCAACAAAACTGTTATACTGTAAAGGTATAAATGGCTTAAAACTTTTGCAGAAGAGTGAGAGAGAGAGAGAGAAACATACAAGCTAGTGATGTGGCAAAGAGTTCGATTGTTGAAAGAACAATCACATCTGATGGAAGGGTTGTTGGAAGGATCCTCGAACACAGAAAAGCTTTCGGTGAGAGCAGTTCCACTGCATGGCTCTCCGCTGATGTTCCATGAATCCACTGCTTGTATTTGCCATTGTTGGAATATTGAGTTCAATGCCCTCACTATTTCCCCCATTCATTAAACAATCAGTTAAAGGAACCAAAAAAAAAAGCATTATCATATGTATCCTCTTAGAAAATTAAAGATGTCTCGTATAAGCAGGAAACACCAGCTACTTCAAAAAAAAAAAGTACCATAGCACGATTAAATACCAAAAAATGTGTTTATATATAATTAAAAACATCATTGATGCTCAAATCATGTATCTTTTTCATTTTTTTTATTAATTATTAAAGTTTAAAAATACATAAAACCATAATCTTAGCTACAGATAAGAAACAACTATTCTATACTAATAATTTTAATTTCTAAACCAAAAACAATTACATTTAATCGTACTCGAACCCATGACATCTTAAATATTATAATACATTTTTTTAACGTCAATCAAAGTTTAATTTTTTTCCCCATTTCGAACAAAGATGGTTTAATATATTCCAATATTCCCCCCCCCCAACAACTTATGTTCTTGAAGTTAGCCAGAGCAGCACACCAGGGATTTTGCAAAGATCAATACAAAGATATATATATATATATAGAGAGAGAGAGAGAGAGAGAGAATACCTTCAGATGGATCGGTGGTGGCAGTGGGAGTCTGAGCATTGGAATAATCGGCGCGAGCAATAACGAAGATGAATAAAAACAACACCAACAAGCATTTGGAAGAAGACGGCGGCTCTCCGCTCAAGTTCATCGTCTTTTTCTGATTTCTTTCTTCAATCTGAAGCACATATTGCAGCTGGCGAGCAGTTTTCTTTTTCTGATTAACATCCAGCGTTGCAATGTGGCATTATTTATCTCACTTATTGAATAATAATTGTTTATTTAACAAATATAGAAACATGTTGATTAATTGTTTATGGTTGAAAATGGCGTAGCGTCTGTAGATTTGTATAAGGGTATCATTTTTTTATGAATGTTTTCTGCAAGTTGGTTTGGTGGGATTATATATAAAACGAAACGACAGTTACTCTAGGGTGTTGTATAGCCCTATAGGTAAACTACACTATTAGTCATTAATTTATTCTATCATTTCTATTTCCGTCACTAAATTATTTTTCTTAACAAAAGCATCACCCATGTTATTTTTATTTTCATCACATCGTTAAAATTTAATGGGCATGATATTTTTTTTGAATTTTTATGTCATTTTTCTCCCTTCATCAATAATTCACATGTTATTTTTTAACGATTTTTAAAATTTTATTTAGTCAATATATGATGTCATGTATCAATTTTATTAGTTAAATAAAATAAAAAAATTATATAATGTCACATGTTATTATGGTAGTGGCTAAATAAAAATATTTTTAAAAATAACATGAATTGTTGACAACGACAGTCAAAATAATATAAAATTTCCCAAAAAAAAAATATTATGTCAATGTAATCGTTAAATTTTTAACAATTAACTATAAAATTAAGAAATTTAATCTTAGTAGCTTTTTTATTAAAAGTAATTTTATAACCAAAATAAAAAATAGGGTAAAGTATATAAATGGTCCCCAACTATGGAGCATTATTTTGTTGAGTCATCAACTATTAATAAATATTATAAAATGATCCTCCGACTAAAGGGTAGAGTCTTTCGACTATTAAAAGTTACAAAATGATCACCCGACTATTCGTATGTTCCAAACTCGTTCTTTTCTGTTAAAAATATAACGACAGTCCGAGCTTGACGTTAACCTGTTGAATGAGATATGATAACAATCTAATATCATAATCTCAAACAACTAGCATATCTTAGTCACCATGTTAACATCCAGCTCAAATGACCATCAATTTTTTAACGAAAAAAGATGAGTTTAGAATATATGAATAGTCGGGAGACCATTTTGTAACTTTTAATAGTAAATGGACTCAACAAAATAATACACTATAGTTGGAGGACTATTTTATAACTTTTAAAAGTAAATGGACTAACAAAGCATTACCTTATAGTCGTGGGACCATTTATGTACTTTATCCAAAAAAATAATAAATTAATGATTGTACATTAGGGGAAAAAAACCTCTCAATCCATATATTCTAGTATATTAGAGAAAAGAAACCATTGTATATTTGAAAATTAAGGAATATACCGACAACCAATTAATCTAGTGGATGGGGTATTAGGTCTCTTAAGTAAGGTTAAGTGTTTAAATCTCGACGTTTGTGAATGGAGTAAACTGGGTTGGGAGGGTCGACCTCGTCTCTGCAGTATCCAATCTATATTAATCAGTCAATATATCAGATACCAGTGATTAATTAATATATATATATATATATATATATATATATATATATAATCCATTTAACAACCCTCATTAATTGTTAGCTAGTGGATTGACAATTCAAACCTAACCCAACTTATGTAGTAAATATCTCCATCCCTTTCATTTGAAAATACCCACCCAAATATGACTTATTATTGGGATTTCGGAAATGACGCGGTGCCACTCGTCTTCGTCTTGGTAAATATAAATTATCCACAATAATTTGTTTATACTAATCAATATTTATATAAAAATTTCAGCTGATGTGGGACTATTAAACCTTGTAGGTTTATTACAAGACAACTTAATACAGAAATGCTAGTTTCTAGAGCTCACTCTCACCTTCCTTCTCATCCCTACAACTTACGACTGGATATAGCATTGGTTGGTCATCTTCCCCTGAAACAGTGTTGTCCTCGCTCTCGATTTCACTGCCGTTACGATGGGATGCAATGGCAGATAAGGTGCCTGTAACATCCTTATAATCCCAGTCGGTTAAATAACTCGGTTTCGTCGTAACAGTGCTCACTTCGATATCTCCTGCGAGCATAGCAACAACACGAGACATGGGTGGCCGCATTGATGGTGATGCCTGAGTGCATAAAAGTGCTACCCCCATCACTCGGAGAGCTTCGTTTTCGTCGAACTCCGTTACTTGCGGGTCAAGCAGGCTCGAGAGTTGGTTATTTTCGTGCAGGGTCCGCACCTAATATATCCAAGAATAATAATGATGAGTACCCCAACAAATAGTACTACAAAAGGGAAAGATTTCCTTATGGATTACCCATTGAAGAAGATAAACTCTGTCATCTTCTAATCTTTTGTCTGAGTTTGGTCTACCACTCATAATCTCAAAGCAACAACACCGAAGCTTAAAACATCGACTTTCTCCGTAAGATGACCGCGCATCGCATACTCCGGTGCCAGGTAGCCACTGCAAGATTATTTCATTGAATTTGTGAATAATGTTTACTGATAAAACTACTAATTCTAGGAATTAGGCAGCACCGATGAACAAAATGGTCGAAAGGCCTTACATCGTTCCAGCAGCACGAGTTGTCATGTGTGCATCCTTGTCATCATAAAGATTTGCCAATCCAAAATCAGATATCTTCGGGCAGAGCTTTCCATCAAGCAAAATATTGCTTGCCTTCACATCCCTATGAACAATCCTTAACCTAGACTCCTCATGAAGATAAGCTAGGCCTCTTGCAGTTGATAAGCAGATATTGAAACGGGTTGGCCAATCAAGATGCAGTGCATTTTTTCCTGCATTTGTAGTACGATCGTCCATTAACCAACAAATAATAGCATAAAATTGTTATATTAGATTGTTCTCATACCCCACAGTGCCTGATCAAGGCTTTTGTTCACATGATACTCTTAAACAAGGAGTCGCCTATTTCCTCCGATGCAGCACCCGTATAGTTTGACAAGATTACAAGGCTGCACTGCTGATACGGTAGCTATCTCAGTAACAAATTGTTCTTTCCCCTGGGTTGATGCTAGAGAAAGTTGCTTCACAGCTACTACTTTCCCATCAGAAAGTGTACCCTAAAGCATAATACGATTTCGTAACATTGTGTAATTAATCATTCTGTCTGTGTAATTTCATTGTTGTACGACAAGTCGTAACCAAAGTTAAGCATGCTAAGAATGTTAGACATTCTTTACCTTGTATACAGGTCCGAACCCCCCTTCTCCTAACTTCTTTGAAGGACTAAAGTCTTTGGTGGCGGCTTTCAACTCGGAATAACTAAATGTGTTTGGTCTAGGACTGATGCCAAGAAGCACTGCAGAGTCAAGTAAGGCAATTACTAGGCTGTAATTGCTTATATGAATCATATGATAAACAACCGATGTTCTTACCTTCCTCGTCGTCGTCATCTGTTTTCTCTTCACATAAATAATTGCAAAAATAAGTATCAAAGCCAATGCAAGAACAGGAACCGTAACACCAGCAACCAAAGCTGCGGGTTCTTCTTTTTAAGATTTCCTGATGGTATCTCATTAACAATTGATCTGAAATCTGATAAACAAAATAGATCTATTAGAAACAGAAGATAAGCACATGAATCATGTACTACATAATGGTTCACAAGTGTTAAGGTGTCTTACGTGGAGTAACAAGAACAGCCGAAATGGATGGACCATAATAACCTGATTCTGGTGCACAGCAAGTTCCCTTACCAGCCCAAAACTGGTGAATTTCAAGATGATTCCCGGTTACATTAGCAGTGAAATTCCTAGTTATTGCTCTCTGAGCACCACCAGCCTCCTTTGTTATATTGAAATCCCTTAATATCCGGTTTCCTTGAATATAAACATCAAAAACTCGCCTTGCTAAACTCCTCCAGGACTGCGAGGTTTGGTCTGGGAAATCTATCTCGGCAAAGAATATTCTTACAGTATGGGGTCCATTCTCAAGGCCTAGGCCATAGTATTGGAGTGATCCAGGGGATAGCCTTGAACTCCGATAGTGTTGGTGTCCGCCACACTTCATTGAGAAGCTTGAATCTGGAAATGCCGACATTGAAATATGTTAGCAAAGCATTAAGCATTGGTCTTGATTAAATATTATAATTAAGACCTTAACAACAGAACATGGTTCCAAAGTTTTAGCTAGTACATCGTGGAGCATTTCTATTGCATGGGAAGCTGCTTTGAAGGCAGTCTAACCCTGGTAAAATCCTAAGGAATTTCAAAACAATTTTTGGATTAGGATCTTAAAAGAATGCATTGCGTAGCAGATATAATAACAAGCATATCAGTAACAATAATTCTTTCATAAAAGTTCAGGAGTGGGGAAAATCAGATGCTACCGGAACAATAAATCACCTTATGTTTGAGCTGGTAAGTGTGAAGTTGTTGGTCATAAGGTTTCTACATAAAATTCAACGAAACAAGCTCTTATTGGCATTGACTCGCTATCAACAATAAGAAAATAAGCTCCATTTCAGCACCAAAGAAAGCCAAAAGCTATAAACCAGCGATAAAATTAGAAAGCAAAGACAATAAATGAAGTATCCTGGTTCAAGATGCATACAGCTGCAAGCCTAAGGCAAGTTTCCTGATAGAAAATTGTATGATAAATCTCTGCATAAATAAGTATATCGGACAGTAAGTATGGAGTATGAACATATTACCAGAATCATGACAATCAAGCTACTTTTACTATTTGACGGTTCACTGAATGGAAGCTTCCAGTGACGGACGCATGATTTTATATTAGGGGGACGAACATATAATGACTTACATAGTCCGAAGAGCGTCACTCTTTTGGCTGGGAACGGCACCTGAGATACTATTATTTCCAAGAAACCTGGCATTTTCAATGGAATGAATGAGAGGAATCATGTCAAGTGAAAACCACAAGGCCAGACCCTGAGTTTTGATTTCTTACAAGGAGTTGAGAGAATCCATATTGAACAAAACGCTTGGAATTCGGCCTGTTAAGTTGTAGAAACTCAAATCCCTGGAACAGAAAAAAATTAGAAAACATGGAGCAAGCGAATATCATAAATTACTGAAGCAGTTACTTTTTAGATCAAACTTACAGCTTTTGCAGAGATTGTAATTCGGTGATATAAGATGGCAAACTGCCACTGAGCATCACATTTCTTAGAACCCTATACGAAACCAACCGAAAGGAAAAATATAAGTATTTTGCTGCATAAATCTGGATAAAAGCATGCATCTTTTTTTCCAAAAAAGAAAACATATGAATTTAAGTAGGGAGTATGTTTAACTTACAAGTCAGTCAAGTTTTTCAGATTTCTTACGAAATCTAGAGAAGACATTACGTATGATCGTAAAAACAAGTACATGTTGCATACATACATACATATATACGCAAAACTGGATGGTATTGGACCTTCAAAAGAGTTCCTTTCAAATCTCCTGTATAAGCATTTGACAGGTTAGTCCAACTGATGAAAAATCTATGCAAAACTATACTTCTTGATGTCTGATTCAGAGAGAACTTATATGAAGATTATAACTAAGATGTTTTGATGAATTACAATGATGTGACATTTTTTCCAGTTATTGCCAACAAAGTTTGGTATTTTGCCTGTGAATGGACTGTCAGATGCCACCCTGAAATTCAAAAATTCTGAAATTTAGTCCTGACCCTACTCAGTTCAATTTAACCATATAAAGTTGACAATCATAATCCGTCCAACCCGAACTTGAAAATACCAATGAGTGGGGTAGGCAGGGTGGACAACTGTGACGAAGGCTTCTCGAGATTGAGTGGGGAGAATGTCATGTCTCAGAGAGGTGGGAGAAATTAATCTCCCATCGGAGATATTGCACATCTTATCAGACATGTATTTTGAGAGGATAATGACACTCAGGCCAAATCAAACGGAATTAGGGTCACAATCTAACAAAAGGGTAAATTAAGGCAGTTTGCAATACGCTGTAAGCATTAAGAGAAGTGTCTTACACAACTTGCAAGTTTTCAGGGTTAGCAAATGTTGAGGGAATTTCACCACCCAATCCACAACTGTTAATGTATCTTCCAAATTCACGAACAAATCATTGTTATAATTTCATAGGGTAACCTGTAAAAATAGTCATGTCCTTTCCCTGCATAGAGCTAAAGGCTGTTAGAAAACTTACAGTTGTTCATGCTTGACTAAATTACCTGTTGAAAAATGCATGGCTTCTAGATGACAGCATTGTTGACAATTGCATGTGCTTCTAGATGGCTTCTGGTGGCTAGATGATTTCAAAGGTGGGCGGCTAAACAAGTGGGGTGGCTACATGGGGCTGCTAAATTTTTTATTGAAATAGAAATAGGATTAATTACAAGATTAGTTCCTAAGCTTCAACTATAAATACCCTAGCCCATTTAGCTTCAAAATCATCCCAAAATCCGAAATCATTTCTTTCTCCCAATACTAGAGAGCTTTCTTGTGAGTAGTGAGTATTTTGTAAACACCTGTAAATTTTCTCTCTTAGTAAAAGATCTGCAACAGTCCGGAGACGTAGGCACAATTGGCTGAACTCCGTTATCAATTTTTCGGGTATTATTTTTCCGCTTTTATTTCGTATTCTCACTAATCTAGTTATAGGAAAATTACTCGTTCTCGGTTTTATTTCCCAACAACTGGTATCAGAGCTTTTGGTGGTGAATTTTGTCGATTTTTCTACGAGGTTACTATTTGGGTTACTATTCACATGAATAGTGAATTTTGTGAATAGTGAAATTTTGTCAGCGATACGAGTTTGTCGACGGAGGTGTTCTAATACACGATGGTTTGCAAGAATTGTCAGAAACGATCCAAAGAAGCCAGATTCAAGTGGGAGCGATGACTTTGAGAAACGAAGTTGATGAGCTCAAGAGGGAGCTGCTCAGATGCAAGGGAGCAATGAGTGAATGGGATGCGCTCAAGACCTTCTTGGAAGGACTTAGACCAGAGGCGATGCTCAGTAGAGAGCAAAGTGATGGCCAGAGACTTTCGGAGGCCATAGCTGTAGCCGGAAAGCTAACTGAGCTTGCAGGTGACAAGCCAAGTAGCGATGTGTCGTCCAGACCCATGCCCATAGATAGTGGCAACAGTGGTGGAGACCGGGAAAAGGTGCAGCAGGGACATGGTAGAAAAAGCTCTTCGAATGGCCAAGGTGAGTCATCGATTGTTCGTAGCCAAAGAAAGCCATCAGGAAAGAATGGCAAGGCTAAGTCTGGTGTAAAGAAGAAGGGGATCAAAGAAAAAATGAAGTGTTACTTTTGTGATGGTCCTCATTTGATTAGAGGATGTCCCAAGAAGCGTCGCCTTACAACCATCATGAAGAGGATGAGAGAAGGAGAAGTAGCGGAAATTGGCGCGGTCGCAAGTGTTAAAGCTACCAAGCCAAGAAAAAGACTTGGTCCGATTGAATTGATCAATGCGGCCAAGCAAGGATCGAGATGAGGCAAGGCTGTTGATGTTGAAACAGCCAAACCCGGAAGAAAACATGGCGCGACTGCAGGTGTCAAAGCAGTTGAGCACAAGAAGGGACCCGGTGCGATAGCAAGAGATAAAGCCGTCAAGCTGAGGGTGCAATGTGAGCAAGTCTGCTCACAATATGCCAGGATAGAGGTGTGGTCCAAGTTGAGACGTCTTAGGCATAAAGGGACACTTAAGGAGTATGTGAGTTGATTCAAAAAACTCATGCTCAAAGTCCCAAGTTTGACTGAAGAAGATGGATTCTTCATCTTCATGTTCGGATTGAAGCCATGGGCAAAGAAAGTGTTGGAGCGAAGGGAAGTTAAGGGACTGTTTGAAGCCTTAACAACCGTAGAGTCCATCAAAGAATTTGGAGTCAAGAAGAACAAGACTTCCAAAGCAAAGCCGAAATCCGAGGGTAGCGGCAAGAGATTTCGCAATGAAAGCCAGTCAAATGATGAGGAAGGTTGTTCCTCGAGTGGCAAATAAAGTCCACTCAAAGATGAACCAGATGGTGGATCTGGTGAAAATATGTGCAGACTTGGCACAAGTTTGAGTGTCAAAGATGTTAAACCGAGGGTAAAAGTCGAGCAAACGAGGGGGCACAGACTTAAGATGCCAGAAGTGTTGCAAAATTACCCGAGGGGAACCGAGTCATCCAAAGTGATGGATGAGACCAAGATCGAGTTGTCTAGAGAAGAAGACGAATCCATGATCGAAGAGGCGTTGAGAGTTGGCTCAATAAGGTTCATTTTTGCCAAGGCGAGTAGAAGCCAAGTGCAGGAGGAGTTAGCCATGTCCAAAGAGTTTGTCGAGCATGTTCGTGTAGAGAACATCATAAGAGAAGGGTCAAAGCAATGGCTTGCCGAGGATTTTCAAGTGAGGATCAATCCTTCAAAGACTAGTAGACAAGAGTCGAAGGAAGCCAAGACGTTGAGGGACAAGGCAACCACGGAGAAACTGCCCAATAACAAGTGGGTTTACAGGGCGGTGACTACGGACAAACTAAAGTTGTGTTCAGCTTCAGTTGTCATGCTATAGTAACAAGAGCAGAAATGTTGCTGCATTGATCGAGGTGTGAAGACAGATTAAAATCAGTCTTCAAGTGGGAGATTGTTGAAAAATGCATGGCTTCTAGATGGCAGCATTGTTGACAATTGCATGTGCTTCTAGATGGCTTTTGGTGGCTAGATGATTTCAAAGGTGGGCGACTAAACAAGTGGGGTGGCTAAATGGGGGCTGCTAAATTTTTCCCCTTGAAATAGAAATAGGGTTAATTATAAGATTAGTCCCTAAGCTTCAACTATAAATACTCTAGCCCATTTAGCTTCAAAATCATCCCAAAATCCGAAATCATTTCTTTCTCCCAATACTAGAGAGATTTCTTGTGAGTAGTGAGTGTTTTGTAAATACCTGTAAATTTTCTCTCTTAGTAAAAGATCTGCAGCAGTCCGGAGACGTAGGCACAATTGGCTGAACTCCGTTATCAATTTTTCGGGTATTATTTTTCCGCTTTTATTTCACATTCTCACTAATCTGGTTATAGGGAAATTACTCGTTCTCGGTTTTATTTCCCAACATTACCAAGTTCTGGTGGCAGGGTCCCAGAGAAATGGTTAACACCAAAAGACCTGCACAATATTTATCCATAGAATGTTCTTGAGAAACTTGAATATATATATATATATATATATATATATATAGTTTCTTCAATTCTTACATCAGATAGAGCTCCTTGAGATTTCCAAGCTCATTTGGGATGGGTCCGGAGAAATTGTTGTAAGCAATTGACCTATACAAAGTAAGATGATTATGGTCCATCCTTGTATGGTGAGGATTTATAAATTGTTGTAAGCAATTGAACTATACATATTATCAGATTATATGAGCACTCACAGAAACTCTAATCTAGTCATATTTCCAATGAATGTTGGCAAATGACTAGAGAAAAAGTTTTGATCAATCTTCCTGCATCACCAAACAATATAAAACATTATCACTAGTTACTGTAAAACATTATAAAATCTGTATTCATTTGGCAGAAAAACTTACAAGAATGTCAGAAAAGGCAGATCCAAAAGTTCCTTTGGCATCTCTTCCCGTTTATCTAGAGCATAACCCTCCTAATAGGAGTATTCAAAACATGTAAAATGTTGGTACAAATGACATATACCAGTTAACATGGGTGGGACTAGCTTTTGGATCTAACTAGCCTTATTTTAACTGGTATACAATATAATTGCAGAAGAGAAAGATAAGAGAAAGCTTACGGTCTAGTAATGTGGCAAAGAGTTTTATCGTTGAACAAACAATCGCATCGAATCGAGGGATTGTTCGAACCATCACCGGAAACAGTGTCATCTTGGCTGAGAGAAGTCCCACTGCAGGGCTCTCCACTGATGTTCCCTCATTCATTAAACAAACATTTATTTCACTGCTAATAGTAATTCTGAAAGCAGAAAGAACAAGAAGAGCACCTTCCTTAGGATCAGTGGTGGCATTCTGGGCAGTAATGGATTTGCTGCATGAAAATAAAACTACCAAGAACAAACATTTCGAAATCGTCTTTCTTTTTCCTTGTTTATTTTTCGATTCACAAATGTTTCTCAGCATCAAACACCACTTATGTTAACATCTTTGGTCAATATGAAGATTCCAAAATAACTCATAAATTGTCAAATTTGAATAAGTTCATGACAGACTTCAATGAGGGAGTTGTGTAAGTGAGCAAGTTGGTACTATCCGTCGAGATGTGAATTATTATTGGGGGAAAAGACTTCGTCTATGTTTTGGTCAATGTAAATAATCCGAAAGTACTGTGCGAAGCTAAAACCCCACCAAATCAAAAGCTTGAGGGCCAAGTTGTAAATTTTCTCAAAATATTCTATTTAGGCGGCTGACGTTGGACTTCTCCACCTCCACCAATCTTTTTAGACCTGAGACTCAAACATATTTTTGAAGGTGACATATATATGTTAATAATATATATATATATTGTATGAAATTAACAAAAATAACATTTTAGGACGGACGTCATCAGTAAATTAGACAATTAACATAAAAAAAAAATCGAATTTTAGAGTAAACACTAACATCACTTACGTTCGCCATTGTTGATTCTATTTACTTTTAGACACTCATTGAATCCCTTTTATTTGTAATCACTCATGGTCATGAGATATAGATTCTGGTTGAGTTATGATAATCATCATCATATGTGTTTTTAGACCGTCATTGATTCTCTATACGAATTGTTTGGTTGAATTTTTAATCCTATACTTCTAAGATCATATTTTATTTTTGGATAAAGTACACAAATGGTCTCTCGACTATAAGATATTACTTTGTTGAGTGCTTAGACTATTAAAAGTTATAAAATGGTCTTCTGACTAAAGGGAGTTGCTTTGTTGGGTCCCTTGACTATTAAATTTTACAAAATGGTCACTTGACTATTCATTATGTTTCAAACTAGTCCTTTTTTGTTAAAAAATTAACGACAACCTCAATTGGATATTAACTTGTTGACTGAAATGTGATAAAATATGATCTCATAATCTCAAACGACTATCATATATCAGTTAGTACGCTAGCATCCAAGTCATAAAATCGTTAATTTCTTAACGAAAAAAATATGAGTTCAGAACATAATGAATAGTCGGGTGACTATTTTGTAACTTTTAATAGTCGAGAGATTCAACAAAACAACTCTCTATAGTCGGGGGACCATTTTGTAACTTTTAGTAGTTGGGGACTCAACAAAGTAATATCCTATAGTCGAGGGACCATTTGTGTGCTTTACTCTTTATTTTTTGATGACCAGTTTGTATAATTTAAGTGGTGATAGGCCTGATTATTGTAGTCTTATTGTATTTTCCTTATTTAATAAAAGTATAGACTATAATTAATTAAAAACATTGCCTTTAAATACCGAACTTTATAATATTGTTATATATTTAAGACAATCAAAATAGAAATGATAGTTCCTAGAACAACAAGTTGGTAGAGTGAAAGAACAGCACAATTCTATATGTTTTTCAAGACGTATGATATGGTATTATAGCAGGCTCCGAACAAAAAAACTCTCACCTTCCTTCTCCGATGCTCTCCCTGAAATCGGTAATATTTACCGGCGAGAGTGTCCGTTGATCATCCGCCCCCGACAGAGTCGTAATCTTACTCTTGTTTTTGCTGCCGCTATGATCGGATGCATTGGATGTTTGTGATTCTTCATTCATGAAGCTGCCCGTTATATCCTTATAATACCAGTCAGTTATATAGCTCGGTTTTGTTGTGACAGTGCTCACTTCAATATCTCCTGCAAGCATAGCAACGACGCGGGACATGGGTGGCCGCATCGACGGCGATCCCTGAGTGCATAGCAGTGCTACCCTTATCACTCGTAGAGCTTCGTTTTGTCGAAATCCGCTAATGTGGATCGAGCAGGCTCATGAGTTGGTTATTTTCAGCAGAGTCCATACCTGGTAAAAATTAATAATCATGACTAAGTACTACTTGAAAAATAGTACTGCAAAAGGAAAATTTTACTTCTGAATTACCCATTCAAGAAGATAAATTCTGTCATTTTCGATCGTATTATATGAGTTTGGCCTGCCACTTGTGATCTCCAATGTAAGAACACCGAAGCCGAAAACGTCTGCTTTCTCTGTAAGATGGCCGAGCATTGCATACTCCGGTGCCAGGTAGCCTCTTCAAGATGTAACATTACACATGTTGAATGATTTTACTGATAAACTACTAAGGTAAGATTGAAGAACAAATTAAAGGGTCGAAAGATCGTACATCGTTCCGGCTACGCGAGTGCTGATGTGCGACTTCTTGTCATCGTAAAGCTTTGCCAATCTGAAGTCGGATATTTTGGGACAGAGCTCTGCATCAAGCAAAATATTACTTGCCTTGACATCCCTATGAACAATCCTTGGCCTAGAATCCTCGTGAAGATAAGCTAGCCCTCTTGCAGTTGATAAGCAGATATTGAAGCGTGTTGGCCAATCAAGATGCAAACCATTTTTTCCTGCATTTATAGTGCAAGGAATCTCAAACAGTTGTTTCAGTAATCACAAAGGAAAGGCACTATAATATCGTATTAGAATGCTCTTATACCGAAGAGTGCTTTATCGAGGCTTTTGTTCTCAAGATACTCGTAAACAAGGAGGCGCCTATTTCCTTCGATGCAGCATCCGTATAGCTTGACGAGATTACGATGTTGCACTGCTGATATGGTAGCTATCTCAGTAACAAATTGATCCTTCCCCTGGTTTGATGCTACTGAAAGTTGCTTCACAGCTACAACTCTCCCATCAGAAAGTGTACCCTAAATGCAAATAACTTTGTAAAATTGTGAAATAAATCATCCTTTCTCAGTAATTTCATCATTGTATGACATTGTTTACCTTGTACACAGGGCCAAAACCCCCTTCTCCTAACTTCTTAGAAAGGCTGAAGTCTTCGGTAGCGGCTTTTAACTCGGAATAACTAAATGTGTTCGGTCTGGGGGCAATGCCAAGAAGCACTGCAGAGTCAAGTAAGGTAATTAGTATGCAATAATAGCGTATATGATTTATATATATATGGATACTCTTACCTTCCTCATCCTCATCTTTTGTTTTCATCTTCAGATAGATAATTGTACACGTAAGTATCAAAGCCAATGCCACCACAGAAACTGTGACTCCTGCAATCAATGCTGTGTGGTTCTTCTCTTTACGATTTCCACGGACAGTTGGTCTGAAATCTGAGAAACGAAATCGATGAAACAGAAAACTGAAGATAAGCACATGAAGCATTAATTAGTACATAAACATGTCTTACTTGGAGTAACACTAATAGCCGAAATAGATGGACCGTAATAACCATCCTTCGGTGTGCAACAAGTCCCCTTGCCAGCCCAAAACAGGTGAATTTCAAGGTGGTTCTCAGTTACATTAGCAGTGAAAGTCGGAGTTACTGCTCTCTGAACACCACCAGCCTCTCTTGATATATCGAAATCCCTTAATGTACGATTTCCCTGAATATAAACATCAAAAACTCGCCTTCCTAGACTCCTCCAAGACTGCGAGATTCGGTCTTCGAAACCTGTTTCCGCAAAAAACAACTTCACAGTATAAAGCCCGTTCTCAAGGCCTAGACCATAGTATCTGAGTGATCCAGGGGATAGCCTTGAAGTCTGATACAGCTCTGGAGTGTGGGTTCTTCTCACTTGTCCAACATAGTTTTCCACATACGATTGATTTAGTCGGTCTGCAAACAAGCCTACAGTGCTAACTGCCCATTTCTGTGTACTGATCACACTAAACGTTGCTGCGCCAAGAGCAGTATTATCGGCCTCAAATGTTATCCCATCGGAAATCATCTCTTGCCAGCCGCACTTGATCGAGAAGTTTGCATCTGCCGATGATACCGAAACAGATTAGCAGAGAGTATTAAGCATAACAACAGATACCGGTTCGAGAGTTTCAGATTGTACATAGGGGACCATTTCTAAAGCACGGGAAGCTTCTTTGAAGGCAGTCTAATCCTGGTAAAATCCTGAGGAATTTCAAAACAATTTTTGGAATAGGATCTCTAAAAGAATGCATTCCAAGGAAGTTTAGGAGACAGGAAAATCAGGTGCTGCGCAAGGATAACTCACCTTATGCTTGAGCTGTTAAATGTGAAGTTGTTGGCCACAAGGTTCCTACATAAAATTCCATGAAACAAGCTTTTATTGGTATTGAATTCAATTGATTATTACAGTTGTTAAAATTCCATGAAACAAGCTTTAGATACAGACAGTTGCAAGCCTGGGTTCACCCAAGAAGGCAAGTTCCCTGAGAGTAAATTGTATGATAAATCTCTGCATATAGGGGCATATTGGCAGAAAGTAAGTATGGAACATGAACATATCACCAGAATCATCACAATCAAAACTACTTTAACTATTTGATGGTTAATATCAGGTTGTTAAAAAGTAACTCACATATTCTGGAGAGTTTCACTCTTTTGGCTCGGAATGGCACCTACTAGACTATTGTTTCCAAGAAACCTGGCCATTACAATATCATGAATGAGATTAATAAAGTCGTAATTTTGGAATATATACATTGGGATATTATCTATTTGTATTCTTTGTATTCTCTACGTTTATCCATTGTTCTTTTAATCCGTGGAGATAAACAAAGTCAAATCATGTCAAATCTCGTCTCGTGTGTGATCTTTTTATGTTGATCTCATTTTTTTTTTTGTTGCTTATAAATTGCTAACACTTACAAGTCTTCGAGAGAATCCATAGTGAACAAAGCACTTGGAATTGTGCCTGTTAAG